CCCACCCACCGGCCTCAGCACTTTGGGTCGGGCGCCTGCAGCGTAGCGTAGGCAGCCCCGCACACGCGCGAGCGATGTGTTGCCCGCCTCCCGGCCGATCGGACGCACGACACGCAACCCCCCGGGCAGGGCAGGGCCGGGGCCGGGCTGAGGCCTGGCCCAACATCCCCCGGGCACCCCTTATTAGCCTGCAAGTTACTGCCTGGACCCTACCCTCACCACACACCTTTGGCAGTGCTATATCGAAACAATGCAACTTTAAACATGGGGCTACCCAGCCATAATATTTGTTGCTAAATAAACTAAGGGTTATTGAGTTTTAATTTCGTTGTTTTTAGATTTACGAAATACACAAAAATACCAATAAACTTCATTCGAGAAGTCCGACGGGGGGGGGGGGCGAACTAAGATGTACCAGATGATGCGAATGCGAAAGCTTGTAAGGGAAGAATCATCGCCCAAAAGGTACGTCAGTTGCCGTTACGAACCTGCCGCAAGTTCAGCCTCTGCGAGCTCTCAGAGCGCCTAGTAGGTAGGCAACATGTCCCGTGCAGGACATTCGTGTACTGCGGGAAGGCCTACCCCGAGTCTCGCAGGCGCCGAGCACCCGTATTGCCGAATGAATGTAAGTAAAACGCACGTCCTTTCTGAACGATCCCAAGGGGGAACCGAAAGGTAATCCCTAACCTTCAAACTAGATCGTGCGTCGTTTTCAGCCCAGCCTCGTCGATTGTGGCACGCTCGCTCTAGTCAGCAGAGGGATGTCATAATCGTTTATTCTACCCCTCGGGCCCCCCGGGCGGCCGCAGTGTGGGGGGCGTGAATCACAATCTCACGCGCGGGCCGGGGGCAGGCCGAGGATTAAAAAGGAAGGTGACAAACAGCCAGAGTCAATATTAAGCCGCCGCGCCCTGCCGCGCCCTGCCGCCAGCGCCTCGCACGCGAACGCCCTCCCCCCTCACCTTCCGCATCGCCGCCGGCCCGACCGACCGACCCTGACCGGCTCCACTCCAAAGAGAGATTTACGGTAAGCGGAATACTGTGTTCCTCAGCGCGCTTGTGTTGTGCCTACATCATGCATATGGCGCGCGCAGGGCATAGAGAGCGAGAGAGAGAGAGAGAGAGAGAGAGATCTTGACCACCACGAGCCATACAACAAACGCGCAACACTAACCCTGGCCGCATTTTCACGCCCCGCCGCGCCCCGCCGCGCCACTCTAGCGCTGGACACTGGGCGCCATTGTAATCTGCCGTGGGCTGCGCGGGGCCGGCCGAGCCCCGTCCTGCCAGTAATGGCCGGCGGTAGCGTGTTGTAATAAAACAAATTATTTGGAGATCCCCCCGCGCTGCTGCCGCCGCGCCTGGCTGGCTGGTTATCTCCCTCCTCATGCACCCGCCGCGCCCCATCCCCGCCAACAACAACACGCGCACATTCTCCGTGTGCCTCGCGCGCTCTTCTATCTCGAGCCGCTGCCTGCCGCGCGCGCGTTTACCGCGAATTTTGCCCCACCACCGCTTGTTTGTTTACGCTTCGAGTGAGGGTAGGAAAAGCGCGGGGCGGCGCCTGGTTGTGGTGTCCTCCTCCCTATCTACTCACACATGACGTTGAGGTAGAACGAGTTGCTGACGCCCTCGCCCTCCTGGTTGAAGCCCACGCACGTGTAGTTGCCGGCCGACGCGCGCGACACGCCCTGCAGCACCAGGCTCTGGTTGGCGATGATGACGCCGCCCGATATGTTGTGGTTGAGCTGCCGGCCCTGCAACAAGAAAGGAAACACTCAGTCGAATGCAAGCAGGGGAGAGTGGGGCACATTGGACCATTTGTCCAACATCTAGTTTCACGAGGACATAGCAATCGCAGTGACCTGACTCAAACTATGCAAGAGGCCATTACCACCCTGACTGATTTTCTGAAAGGTTTGACAAAGTTCGCTGTGAACCATCGAATTGGCGAGGGGTTAAATATATTTCAACCTCAAAATCAGGTAAAAGTAAAACGTGTTCACCCCAGAACTACCGTATTAAGATGTACAAAAAACGCATTTTCGGTTGAAACCAAATTTTATGATGAAGCCTACTCTTTTAGTTGCAGATTGCACCCAGTGTCCAGTCGTTTATGTTATTCAATTGAATTTGCTACCCTCAGAGCAGTTTGAGCCGTCTTGCAACTGACTAATTTTATTTTTCGAAATCTTGTCTCCTGTACGTATTTTCTTCGTTGAATAACACTTAACACTTAGACACCCTAGTGGTGCTCGGGATGAAGCGGAGGTTGTTTTGAGCATTTTTTTTTTTTGCTCAGCTCAATGTACCCCACGCATGTCGGCCCAATGTGCCCCGGGCAGGGGCACATTGGTCCACGAGCAGGCCTCTGGGTTTTGGTTTTTCTCAGTCTGTACCAACAGAAAAGTGTTGCGGCCAATTTTCTGAGGTAAAGGAAAGACCAAACTAAAACTTGGCGAAGGAAAATAATGTCTAGCTCGTCACGTGAAGAACTGGGAGCAGAAAGAAAAAAAACGGACCAATGTGCTTCACTCTCCCCTACCAAATCTTACACAATAACGCGCGCTCTTTGTCTCAGTAACAAATTTTGAACCCCTAACAGAAGTGTACAGCTCTGGAAGGAACCGTCGTGGCCTACCCCAGAAACGACCACAATATAGTTTCAAAACTGACCACCATACAGTAGTTATCCGATCCATATTGTAGTTATCACGGTCAATTTCACAACATCTCAAGAAGCTGCAAGGTAAAAAAAGGTCATTGCAATTTAGGATGCGCAAATAGACCTTTTGGAAAATTTCATTGAGACTTGAAATTCGAAAATCTCTTCACAGTGTTGAAGTTACACAGTGGAAAACCTTAGCTTCATCTTGGTAAGATGGTTGCAACAGCTTTTCATTTTTCTTTGAGAAATTAGCATCTGTGGCAAAAACTTAAACGGGTGCACACACTAGGTGCATTTGGATGGGGGAAGTGGACGTGCTGCAGGCACTGACTTTTCGCTTGCATTCCTTTTGCGGCGTTAGCTCTCGGTCCCTTCTCCCTCTCCCCTCTCCGGTCCGCTCTCCGGGCGCAGATTGACCCGGGAAGCCAATACAACTGGGACAAGACAAAGGAGACGGAACGAAGGAAGATGGGACGCATAAAGCCATGCCACTGAGTGCAGCCCGACCGCTGAACCGAGTCCCTGGGGGGAGAGAAGGGGAGGGGGGGGGGAGGAGGTTAGGGGGGCGTATCACTCCCATGAAGATGCCCGCCCGCCCGTCCGTGAGGGTCGTCCAGAGAGTGGAGCGCTGCCGGCCGCCACCGCGTCGCTCTCTTTCCAGCTGATTTCACTTCTCGGGCTCAGGCTGTGCCGGGCTGTGACGGTCTGCGCCGCGCCAGCAGCGCGCCAGCGCCCTCCAAATGAGGCGCACTGATCGAATTGGGACACCTAGCTGCCTGTTTGCCTGTCACCGCTATCTCCCTCGCGCACCTCGCTCACCACCACCCCCGCCACTCCCCATACCCGCACCGCTGCATTAACATAAACTGCTTACCAAGTCCCCCCGCCCTCCCTGCGGCTATCCTTAAGGGGAAAAGGGGGAAATTTCGAACAATTACACAACAGGGAGGCGTCCATCTCTCGAGCGAAGAGGAGAGCGGGAGCTTGCAGTCCTCCTCAGCCAGTCAAAACCACGCCTCGGAGGGAAAAGGGGGTGAGGTGGAGGTATGGTATATCTGACTGCAGGGCGCAGCCGCGGACCGACGAGTTCCGGCCCTGGCTCCACCTCGAGCATCCTCAGAGATTATCAAAAGTTTCGAACTGCGCCTTTGATAGCGGGGACAAGGGTATTGATCGACTGCAAGTCAAAGCAAAGAAACTGGAGGGGGTTCAGTATGCATCCAGCTGATGACTAATACCGGAGAAAATTGCTTCGGGAGACGGAGGGAGATGTAATAAAGATTTTTCTTCAACGACAGAAAATGAGGAAAAAGTTTGCCCAATGGCAGGATGAATTCAAAGTTACTGGTGATCTGCATCACTTCTAACTGTAGGAACGGGCTCTTGCGGTACCAGGTAGAGCACTCGTACTTAGTCGCACAAGCGGTACACCGACCGATGTACCACAACTCTAGGAGAGGCGAAGAATGTAGTGCAATGCAAAACCAATTTTATTGCCCTCCCTCCACCTCAATTATCCCACCTCCTTCCCTCCCCCCAGCCCAACCTTCTTCCCTCCTATACCATTAACCTTTACGTAGTTATCCGACTCTCCCTCCCTCGCCCTTCAGAAACTTTGAGATATTCCGATGCTGGTAATGGCTCCCTCCGCACTGTATGTCCGCGGCAACAGTCTAGCGCGGGGTGTGACGTGGCGACGTCCGCAATCAAGCGCGCGCGGGCGGGCGTGTCCGCTGCCATTGGGCCGTGATGGAAAGCGTGTTATTACAAGGATTTAGTCGCTCGGCCCGCTCCGGGAGGGGAGAGAGGGGTGCAGTTTCACACGCACACAACACAGTTGCACTGCGGCCAAACGATTATGACGGGATAAAAGTCACCAGCGCGGCGAGGGGGGGCCAATTTATTTAAATTGCATCTTTTACAACTTGGAACACATTGCTCCAGCCCCGCGGCGTTGGTTCGCGCGGACTAATCGGAGGGGGATATCCCCATGACAAACGGTGGCCGCGCTGTGGCGTGGCGCAGCGGCCCGGGTGGGAGGAAAATGACGAAAAAGGGGGCTTTTCAAACAGAACGCAAACCGCGCTCGCGCCAACCACACAGACACAGGCACTAACTCTCCGCCTGTGTGTGTGGAAAGTGCGCCCCTTGTCGACACAGTGCGAGCTTGGAGCGGCCTCGGCTTCGACTCGACTCCTACCCGCACTCCACTTCGGGTCGGGTGCCGCGAAGCTCAGAACTCGCGCGGCGGCTCAGCCGCCTCAGCCGCCTCAGCCGTCACCGCCCTGTCCTCCCCTCAGAATTGCCTCCCTCTGTCGTGGCGCGGCGTTGCTGTGCGCCAAATTGAATTTGGAAAGCGCATTCAGCCCTACGCTCGAGATATGGCTCTACCCCGCGCCCGCGGTGCTGGTTCGAGGGAAAAAGGGACGGAGCGGAGCCGGGGTGAAGGGTGGGGGGGAAGGGTTTGAGGGCCGGCCAAGGCTGCGAATAACAGGTGGAGCGCGCGACTGCAAATAACTGCCGAGGGAAGTAAAAGCAGATTGTGTCGACTTTCGATGAGAAAAGAGGGAGAAGCGGGTCAGGTCTCCCGGCCACGACTGAGGTCAATCTGCGAGGTTGTACGAAATGCAAGCTTAGTGTCAATACCCCCAAAACTTGCTTAAACACAATATGTTGCCTGAGGATCTATATTTTCTTCCCGGCAATTCCAGGCAGAGGTGTTTCCGTACGTCACGATTTGTGAGCGACACAGGCGCGGTATAAGGTACGTCTGACTGAAAACGATGCACGTACAAGGGTTTCGTGGCATAAGTTGCCCTAAGGACCGCAGAAGACGGGTAAAACATTAGGTGTTTACTTGTGCTGCTTTCACCACCGAATGAGAGTATAGTAGATTTTAGACACCGTCATATACTTTTGTTTTTGAAATCCCTTTAAGCACCCACAGCCGGAGTTTTAGTCTGTGCTACTGCTACTGTCGCTTGCATGTACAACCTCGTGTAAAACGAGCTCATCGCGAGCAGAAGAGAGAGAGAGACGGGGGGAGAGACCCGTCATGGAGAGAAATATATGCCACACGAGATAAGCGCGAGCGAGATCTTTGTGAGGCAATGAACCAGCGATCCAGCGGGATGCGCACTGCGCAGGTATAAGCACAGGACATCAGGGAGAGAGAGCGGGGGG